GTTTTAACTATGCTTGGTACTTTTGCAGTGAATGTGCATTCCTGATTTTGTGCCACCAGTGACGAACGTCACAGTCATTTTGATTCACCTAAACGTATTGACTTATCTGGCAACCCCTCATCATCTAGTCCTTGATTCTGAGTTATATTTAGGAGCTGCTCATTAACAGCTCGTTAATTATCAGGTCGCTGCTGATTCCTTCCTCATTTGTTCCTCAGCTACATTTCACATGTTGCCTGCATCACACTCTAAAGTGCTACTCTTGGGCTCGCTAGACACAACCAAAAATGTATTGAGCATCTTTCTAAACATAATATTGCTTTATTAGCTAGTTTTACAGTTGTCCTCTGTCTTGCTCTTTCAGTATTAATGCTCATCAAGATAATAAGACCATAAAGGATGTAGTTGCCAAACAATGCATTGGCATGTATAGTCTTGGCTACAAAATGTTTAAACACAGCATGCATCTCTTATCGTGCACACAGACTAAAATAGTGAAGAATGTCACACCTCCAAAAGGAATGAATATTTACAAGAAGTATTTGACAAATAAGCCAACATCCTGCAGTGATCCAAATAGTTATAATTTTTGTACAGACTGCAGAAGATTTTTTGTATGATAGGCTGTCATAACACGAGAGTGCTTCCTGCAGCGTTTGAGTATCTTGTGTGCTGGTCAGATTTTCAGGGATCTTCAGGTTGAGATAGAATTGGCTCTTGTGTGGCATAGGAAGGTCAGTCATCAGCTCTAAGTAGGGGAGCTTCAGATTAATGACTAGGGGCGGTGAATCTCTGCAGGCCTTCATGCATCATGTCCCATTCACCGCCAAACATGTCAGGGAGCGCTCCCACTGGGAATTTCAGGGATATTTATGGAGCGTTTCCATCACTTTTGCCTCCTGCCTGTTGCACTGATTCTCTCTGGCTGAAAGATGGAGGAAGGAAGAAACGGGCCAGCGGGTTAGGGTGTGGTAGATGTTGGGGTGTGGTGGGTGGAGGTCTTGCAGCCAGACTGAAGGCTTTCATGCGCATACCTGGGCCATTTGCCTTAGCAACGCAGTTGCTCGCATGTTGCCATGGCAGCCACCCGACTGCCCACTGCCATCCTGCAGCTGCACTGCTGGTCATTAGTCACAGAGACAGGTCGTACACACTATCACAATGCCCTTCCTCCACCAATCAGCTCCTCACATGCCAAAAGTGCCGGTGCCTCTCAGCCATAGCATAGCTGCATGAGTCGCCATGGCAACATATCTAACTCCCATCTCTCATTGTACAAGAGCATCCTTCAGTAGAGAGAGCTAATTGTGCTAAATGTATTTTCATTCACAGTTTTCAATGCTTCGCAAGTGCTCACAATTCAACAAAGTAATAAAAAAAAAAGTCTTAGCTTTAATCTTTGTTCCGAACAGCATTTGATCGGCAGATAGACTTTACTGAATGTGATTTTCAAGGTTGTCTGTTACTAGTGTTTTTCAAGTATGCCCTTCAGAGATGTACTTTTTCTGTGTACAGAAGTTAATTTAGAACAAACTTAACTTCTGAGAGATATTAAGCCAGTGAGCAAGTTATTGCATGAATTGTAATCCAAAATACACTTCATTAACAGTGATAAAACATTAAAAGGGAGGAAAGTATACAGCCACCCTCCCGCATTACGCTTTGGTCTTGACTTTCCGCTCAGTCTTTCTCTCTTTCTTTCAGTGACACACAGGCACACACATATCCAGGCACACTGAAACACTCCGATCAGCGGGCCCTGTTTTCTCGTCAGAGTGATTATCCAGCTCATAACTCACTCAGAGCTTTCATTTGCACCATAATTCAAACCAATCCCAGTGATGGAAGCTCTATAATTCTTACATGCACACACACGCACGCACGCACACACACAGGCTGATTATCTCAGCTGCAACTCACACACCTGCAGTCACACGGACCACAAAAACAAGAGAAAGGAGAAGATAAATGCAAATATAATAGTTAGAGTGTTATTAGACTTTAAACAAGGTAAATATACATTATCTCATATGGGTTTTAATGTCACTTATGTCTCTTGAAAGATGCATAACATCTACTTTGGGAAGGAGCACGAGATGGATTAGTCTCTATAATCAATAGTGCAAATGAAAACCAAGGATTCATGTAGCACATTAGATTCAAAGGAGCACTAACGCAAACGACAACCATTGCTATTCCATTTATTAGCATTTTGAAATTTAACTGTAAATATTTTATGTTATCCTCTGCAGACTTTTATTTAATGTTTCTTCTCTGAGTTCTTAAGGTACATGATTTCTATCAAACCAGCATGCCCAAGACATACAGCTTGCCAGGGAAATCAGATGTGCATAACCTAAAGCCCTTATGCTAATTTTCAACAGCCCAGTGGAGCTCAGCCTGCTCCCTCAGGGCTATACTGTAATAATTATCTATTAGATCAGACTGACATGATTTCTATCATCTTTAATGGTGATTTTGGGGTATTCGCTCCTTTGAAGATTAATGTGTCATTTCAGTAAAATGAAAAGCCATGAATAGCAACATGTTCGCATCACATCGCTGTATAGGAGGAGGATTTACACATGAAAAAATCATTAACTCAGCTCACTGAGTGACACAGTGACGCTCAGAATGTGTGCTTCATTGCCTTCTTAACTTTGTACATATCTCTTATCACAAACTGCAATGCTGGACGGCGCTATATATAAATGAAAATTCCATAAAATAAAGTAAGAACCCCCAATATATGGCTGTACTGTGGTGACAGTGACAAAGCTCCCTTCCTCGGGTTAATGACATCTTCTTTGCCCTCCTGCTCTCATTTTCTATCACTGCCTGCCATGGCCAGATGCTATTTATAGCCGCTATCTGTTACTGTAAAGCTCTCTTTCTTTCTGTACTCTTTCAAAAAATGTGCCACTCTTTCAGTTTTACTTCCCCCTTTGCTCCGTATAATTGAATCAATAAACAGGCTTTAAAGTTTTTCATTTTGGATTCAGTCAAACTGACTCTGTCCTCCAAGAGGATGGGATCCATAGAAGGACTCGTGAACTCTGCTCTCGTCTTCTGGAGTGTTTCTCAAAGCTCCTCTCACAACACCCTTTCATCTTTCCCCCTTATGCATTCTCTTTTAAGTTTGATTTTTGTATAGCCTTCATGGGATTTAGACCGCTTTCAAAGGTGTATCAGCTGTTGAAATGTGTTGTCTTCCTATGTTTTTATTTTCATAGCTGAAAGTGGCTGATTGACTCCAAAGCTGTTTCACCACAGGCACATTCAAATATTGTTGGTGTGATTTAATATATTAAGAAGAATAATAACTGTATATGTATAGCACTTTAAAAAAAAAAAACAACACACAGTGACAAAGTGCTTTGCAGTTGGGATAAAAACACATTAAAAGCAAGTGTCCATATTTATACATGCAAACACAGAGTAATATGCTACATAATACTGCATATCAGACCCCCTTTCACGCGGTTTTACCTCATCCTGTTGATGGATGTGTGAAAATTCTCTCTGACCCCAGTTACACCTGAAATTGCATATGTGCTGAGTGGCTGGCTTGTGGATTAGATGATGTGAACACTGATATATTTTCATAAATGTTCCTAAAACCCACTAAAAACAAAACAGAACAGAACATGCAAATTTGGTGCAAATTTTTATACCCAATTCCAGGAAAACATTTTAAAACTTCCTATGATTCAAAGTTCAAAATGATCCTTTTTTATTCTCCTCTTTGGTGCATTCCCTTAGTTTATCCACTTTGTGAATCAAGCTCCTCTTCCTTTAAGCCAGCGTTCCTCGAAATGGCTTGCAAACAGAAGGTTGGGTCAAAGCCAGAGCAACTACTGTAGGGATAGCTGCTCTAATTGACGTCCTAAAGATCCAAGACTTGTGTGAGATGGGTGTTTAAAGCAGTCTAAGAATGACTTGCATTACTTACCTGTGTTTAACAGGACCATCTACTATTTCAACAGGATCCCAAAGACAGAAAATAGGAGAAAGCATACCAAGTCCAGTGTAAATACATGCAGATAAATTATGCTTGACATAATCAGAAAACAAGACACATTTGTAGTGGCTCACTTTAAACATTGATATTCTTTGTCTCGGATCCTGAAGTGCATAAATAGACCAGCTGGAGCATTAATTGTCCCTGTTGTGCTCAGAATAACTGACAGTTCTGAAGGATGCTATTTTAAACTGACAACACCTTTCTTTGCAGCAGTAATTATAGTGTCTGCGCAAATAGTTTGGTTATGTAAAAGTTTTTATTTCATCAGTTACAGACACCAAAAAGGTAACAAGATTTGCCGGACAGCAACAGAACCAACCGAGTAAACAGTGAGACATACAGTTAGGTTCATATGTTTTTAATTAGTATTGTTAAAAATGCCCCAATAGCATCTTAATTTCTGATTTGATTGACCTTCTCGTTATCTGTCTTTCTGACTTGCCTCTATTTATACCCACTTTAAATATGTTTCTGATTTCCCCCGTGGCTCTTATTCTCTCGTCTACCTTTTCACTTTAATTTCCCTCTGCTCTTGCCTGGCTTTCTTTGCTCGCATCTCATTTGAGAATCATTTAAATCAATGGGACAACTGGTAGAGTGAACCTTTCTGTCAAGGCTGAGCGAGGGAGTTAAAGAAGGGCAACCACCCCTGAACTCACCTCCCAATGCAACTAATTGCCTATAATTACGCCGACGACTGCCACAGAATGCAAATCAGCAGGGATCCAAATGCCTACTCCGCATTGTAAATCTGTTTCATGTCAGCATGAGACTGAGCTGTGAAAAGCATTGAACACAGCAGCATCAATAATATGAGTACAAATACTTAAAAAATGATGCACTGCTTGAGCTGTAATTGCCTGCATCATATCCATCATTTACTTGAAGGTTTCTTGTGTTAAGGAATCTATGGCAATTATAGGAGGCTGGACTCGCCATTCAAACGTCTTGTTCTCTCCTGCTTTTTATCCCTCAGGAGGAATATTTGAATCCATTGAGAGCGGCCCCTCGGGAGCAGAGGAACTAGCCTTTAAATTTGCCTTGAACACAATCAACAGGAACCGCACATTGCTCCCCAACACCACGCTGACCTATGACATCCAGAGAATAAACATCTTTGACAGCTTTGAGGCTTCCCGGAAAGGTGAGTCAAGAGGAATGGAAAGGACGTTTAGCTGAATCTCACTGTGAGTGCTTTTTGTTCTTACATGAATTCGTATTTTACAGGTAGCCATTCAGACAAACACTGCACACTCTACTTTCCTATTTGAGTGTCAAATCGATTCATGTTTTATCAGTTAAAAGGATAAAAGTAATGTCCATGTGTAGCTTGTATTTTTATGCTGTAAATCCCATGTGTAATGCATTAACCTTTTGTAGAGGGAACCTAAAACCTGCCCTGTTGGTCACTGATGATGGACAAGCATTTGTGTTCACGGTGTCAGAAATCTCAATTTACTGCTCACAGTAAAGAAGATTATTGCATCATTATTATTATTATGAACGTGTAAACCGGGCAGTGATTCCAGATAAAACCGCAGAGTAAATCGTAGAATATTTTCTGTTATTCGCCCCATCTAACCACTAATGCAGTTTACATCCACAAACGACTTGACTTTTATTTGTTAAAATGGGCTACTAATTGACAGAGTTTAAAGAGAGTTGAGCTAACGAAGGGGAGAAAAATGACCAAAGATACCTTGTGAAGTCCTCACAGTTGCGAGGCTTATTAATTTGCTATTTTTTTTCCCGAGTGTTCCCATCTTTTTTTTCCCCTCTCTTTGTTTGCCCACATCAATCACAACCACAGTGGAACAGTGTGAAAGATGTTCTCCTTCCTACCCAAACAGAGGTCCAGCTTGTATAAACAACGCTCCGAACCGCTAGCGGCTATAAAAGAAAATTCCACAGTCGGAATTAAGATTATCTGCTGGGCTGAGGAAATTACTAATCACCGGTTCTGTTTATTTTTTGGTTGCTTCGGGTGACATGTGGACAAAAAAAAAGAAAAAAATTAAGCAGAGAATATGAGATATAGTGAAACTTAAAAGCATAACTGAAACATGAAACTAACTGTCTTTTTGTTTTCTTTTGTTTTATTTTTCGTCAGCATGTGACCAGCTTTCCCTAGGTGTGGCGGCCATTTTTGGCCCCTCACACAGCTCGTCAGCTAACGCGGTCCAGTCCATCTGCAATGCTTTGGGAGTGCCCCACATCCAGACCAAGTGGAAGCATCAGGTGTCAGACAACAGGGACTCGTACTATGTCAGCCTATACCCTGACTTCTCCTCCCTCAGCAGAGCCATTCTCGACCTGGTGCACTTCTTCAAGTGGAGAACAGTCACCGTGGTCTATGACGACAGCACAGGTACAGGTACAGTCGGTGTCTGTCTTCATTTTCCACTGGTGCGTGTTTTGTGTGATGATGGATGTGACAATCCTTAAAACCGACCAAAAAACAATGTCCAGTAAGAAAGAAGTACCAGGTGATCTACAAAAAGCAGCAGTGCTGCTCAGAGTTCAGAGAGTGCTTTGTAACCTGTCAAGTTAATTCAGAAATCAATAGCTTACTGTTCTGCCTTAGTCCTCCAGGTGCTGCCCATGTCAGTCTTCCAGGAGAGTGAGCAGCAGCACGGAAAAAAAACGAGAACCACATTACCCAGAATGACCCTGTGTCTCTTCAGATTAATGCAATGCAGAATTGTAGTATGTGGGCGCTGACAACAGCCATTAATAACACACAGAGACACTTGATCTCTGAGGGTGGCAATCAAATGAGTCTCTGAGCCATTTTGTCTATCCTGTGACTTTGCGGAGTGCCTCGTAACGTGCTTTTTAAAAGGCCAGTCGTATTTTAGCTGGAGCGCAGTGAGAGTTTTACAAGGTAAAGTATAATCACTCTAGAGAAGATAACAATATTCAAATGCGTATTCACAAGTTATGAGCTTTTTGGCATGACGTGGTTGACAAGTAAATGTAAGTAAATTACAGAGCAGAGAGGAGGATTAAATTTTCAGGTTGCCTAATGAATTCAATTTCTTCTCTCCACCAGTCTATATAGTCTTGTAGTTGACATCCTATGCAGCGCCTCTAAATAGATACGAGAGCCCTTTTGTTCCTTTTTGAAAGCATCACTTTTACAGCCATTTGACTTCTTCAAGTGTCTCTTCTTCCGCATCTGTGATATATTGTAAATAGCCAATCCTGCAGCGTTCTAGCACTCATACATTAACCTCAGCTGATATCCCATTGGCTCGTCCTGCTTGCCACATTATTTTGACTCATCTCCTTGACCTCCCCTCTCTTCCTACCTTGGAGCTCAGTATGTTAACACCCTCACTCTCCTGCAAACTGTCCCGGAGAGATGCCAAACGGGGTGATCTCTCACCTCTCTCTGCATCAGATAGGAGCTGCTTGGGCCTCCTCTGTGGTACGTATAGGCTGTAACGCACCTGACGCCCTGAAAAGTGTGACAGCTGCACAGCCATGTTGTTTACCCCCTCCGTTTCCACCCGGTCTCAGGCTGTAATCACACAGCTTCATGCTCCAGAGCCCCGCGCTGCTGATTGGAGCCTATCTGACGGCTGACAGGAAAAACTATCAGAGGGGATAAAATATTCACACACAGCCGTTAGAAGATCCAGGGGGAAAGTCTGAAGGAATTAGCCAGAGCCCACAAACATCTACAATGACAGTGTTTCCCAAACGTTGAGCTCCCTTGACAGATTTTTTTTCCTAGCTTAACACCTCCCAAAGTGTCAGTTCGAACAAAAACAGGGAGACGCAGACATGCCCTAGAGTAGGGATCTATTGGGATTACCTGAGGAAAGCTGTATAGGTTCAGTATTCCTCCCTACAATGGTACTTTTCAAGGCGAGACCTGCATGTTCCTATTTCACACCAATCTTTCTATAGGCCTCAGGGAGACCCAGCCCCACTCACAGTAAGACCATTAAACTGCTCACACAGCACTTCATTTCAAAATAAAAAATAGGCTGAGCTATCTTAAAGTGGTTGAAAAAAAAAATCCTATCTCTCTCCAGTTCCCTCTCAAACTATCCTTGCTGCTCCATCCATTTTTATACCCATGACAAGTAATCATCTCTCCCATCAATCCAGCCTCTTTCATCCCTGGACTCTGAAGTTCTTTACTGAGGGAGAAACTCATTGTAATCTCATCACAGTATCTCCCGGAGAGCTTTCTACCTGAGCGTGTGGTCGAGAAATGAAAGGTGAAGATTGTAGCTCAATGTGTGACGAAGGCGCCGGGCTCCCTGGGGGCAAGTACAAGCTGGGCAAACAGAGCCTCTCTCATCAGAACACGTCTGAAGTGTATGTGAGAGAGGCAGAAGAGGCAGGATTGACCACGGCTTTCCATCTGGATAAAAATTGAACCTATTCCGCGCTATTCTATGGTATCATGGAAGACAAGAGCAAATCACCATTTGGGAAGCTTCTTTCAGGATGGGACTTTCTGTAGGAGGTTGCAAAATGAGGCGCTCTCTGTATTGTGGTTTTTGTTATGAAAGAGTGCAATGTGCTGGCTTGGTGTAACATTCTCTTGATAAGTCTGTAGCTGTCTGTTTGCTTGCCAAGCATGAGTAGGAGGATCAATAGACTGCGGATTAGGAAGACATGCATATGAGCATATTTTTTCTGCTGAGAATACATGACTCCAATTGGTCTTCGTGGCCTCCTTAGAATCAGAGATACTTCAAAATGGTGGCACATCAAACACACCATATTGCCGCATCTTTAAAATGGTCCTTTCACACTATACATGTATCTTCTTTGTCTGCAGGCCTCATTCGACTGCAGGAGCTGATCAAGGCACCTTCACGATATAACATTCGTTTGAAGATCCGACAGCTGCCCACAGAGACCAAGGACGCCAAGCCACTTCTGAAGGAGATGAAGAAGGCAAAGGAGTTCCATGTCATATTTGATTGTGGACATGAGATGGCTGCCTGGATCCTGAAACAGGTATCAACTCACCTTAATGAGCCCTGATACTCTCTTAGACTCACGGATGTCTGCAGCATTTGTGAACAGCATAAGTAATTTTATCACACTGTTTCCTGAATTTAGTTAAAAGTAAGTTAGCTACTGTATAAAATTTACATAATTTCCCCTTAAAGAAATTTTCACATGCTACTGAGTATCCAGACTCATATGTATATATACACATATATATGTGCTAAAATAATCAACATAAGTCCATGTGTGATCCCTATCTTATCCTTTCTCTCTTTAAGAACTGCTGCAGATCTGTACATCTTTAATCTTTGTGTGTTAGATATCTACTCGTGGCCCGTCATAATGGATGCTTTCCATTGTACATATTTTTTTTTCTTTTAAATTATAAAGTCTAATTCTGCTCACAGGCATGTTCAATTCATTTAGCAGAGGCGCATTATTAATGAGAACCGTGGGGGTTGTTGTTGAGCTCAAGTCTTCTCACAAGCATATTGCACAGTTGGAGTTCTCTCTATAGCTGTGTGTCAAAACTAATGATTCTTTATTGTGGCGCATATTTTGTTTGTTATTTATTGTTGCATGCACAATGCAGTGCCGAGCCCACATGGACTTAGGGTATAATGTACGGCGTATTGGGAGAAACATGAGCAATGTGGACGCATAGACTGATTTTTTTTCAAGCAAAATTACTGTCAGTGTCATGATACCGTCTCGGCTCTGAGTGTAATAATAACCGAATATGTCTGTTCATCAGTCATCAAGACAATTAAAAATGCCTTGGCAGGCCCCCGCTTTCACATTTTTTTCCAGTCTCAGGTGCCTTTCTGACAGGTGTCAGGGTGGCAATATGTATTAAATAACAGGTCAATTAGTAATTCTAATACCGCAATTCATTAAGCTATTTGTAATTGACTTTTAGTTACTGCTTGCTTTTTATTTCTCCCTGTAGGCCCTGGCAATGGGTATGATGACGGAGTACTATCATTATATATTTACAACCTTGGTGAGTACCCTGGGACTTTTTTGTTGTTGACAAGATGTGATGATAGACTGTGTTTTGTTACTTTTTTTCTTCTTGCACAGCCCCGTCCACTTGATAACGTGCTGTTTGGAGATATTTCTTCTTCTGAGCCTATTGTAGTGCAAACATTAATCTGTTTTTTTTTTTTTCCTTGTTGCAATGAAAAATTACCTGTCACTTTTTCATTTCTGAGAATACAATTTAATACCGCTAACCGAGAACTAGTCAAAGAAAAACATCCCATTATTTTCATTTTATGTGAGGCGTTTTGAACCCGAAGTGCAAGTTGACTTTGTGATCACAGAAACCGATGCCCTTGAAAGGCTGAGTCATTGTTATGCAGTCTATTATAAATATACCCTTTGCATTCCACTGCGTCTGTTGAGAAAGTTTAACTTTAATTTCTTTTCTAAATTCTGAACAACCTTCTCACCTCACCTGGCTGACCACTACCCAGAGTTTAGGAAACAAAAGCAGTTGGAGGTATTTTATTCTCACTCCAGCAGCGATTGAAGTTCGCTAAATTTCTTTGATCTAGCCGCTACAAAGATTGCTTCTCACACTCCAGATGAAAAGCAGCACATCTTCACTGAGCCCAGAGAACAGAAGACTGAGAGCCTAGATAATAGCCCTGAGCAGATGAGACTGTCACCCATTTGGTCCATTATAGCTCTAACAAACAAATAGCCCGCTGTGTTGTTTGGAACACAGTTGGAAAGGGTGAGGAAAAGGTTAGAGAAAACTGACCTGAAAAGACATTTACCATTGCAGAGGACATGTAACTATCCCTAGTGAATCCACATACAGTAAGAACCTGCCTAGATGAAAGGGGAGTGAGTGACAGTAGGTATGTCATTGGGAAAGGGAAGAGAATGGTGATTATAGGCCTCTTTCGGTGGCATGCTGTTTCTTGCCGGGATGGAAGCATGCCTACTTTAACATCAGTCAGTGTTTGGCAGAATTGGAAGCCAGTGTGCTGGCCCGAGATGCTGCACACTGGTACCAAGCCATTCATGCTGCTCTCAGAATAGGACAGCAAACATTGACCACGGCAGCCCCATTCTGCGTCCATCGCCCGCTGTTTCTCTGTCAACTGTGTTGTTGCATCCCAGAGACATCTGCCTGGTGAGATGCCAGACATGCTGCATGCGGGACAATTGGGTCGTCCTTTTCCGTCCACATGATAGATGGCAGTCCACCAAAAGCATGCCGGTAACCTTGAAAGGCTTGCCTTTATCAAGGCTACTGTCTCAGCATAAGATGAAATAGCTCCTGAAATCCCTTCAACTGCACCCTTTTGCGCTCCCTCATTTGGCAGTGGCTGCCGCTCAAACGTCGACTTGTAATTATGAAAATGAGCGATGTATAGCAGTGGAGGAGGGAAGATGAGAAAATCCAGATTTTTTTTTTCAGATCAAACGCAGTTACATTTTGATCTTTGCGCCTCTAGGACCTTTTCGCCCTTGACATGGAACCATATCGCTACAGTGGAGTCAACATGACCGGTTTCCGCATACTCAACACAGAAAACTCTCAGGTGTCGTCGATCATCGAGAAGTGGTCAATGGAGAGATTACAAGCCCCACCCAAGCCAGACTCGGGCCTGCTGGATGGATTCATGACGGTAGGCCCAAACCTTTTTATCTAAGATGTATCATTACTGTCCACATAAAAATAAATACTGCCCAAATAATTTGGATGCCATGCATAAAGTTTTCTGTTTTTGTTTTTTTGTTGTTTTTTTTTTTTGATTGATGAAACAAAATGTTTTGAAATAGAGCGTAGCTGTGGAGAAAAAGAACTGTAACTGTGTACCAGTTGTCAATCACAAACTCAATTGTGAGGGGCTCCTGGGGTGGGTACCGCGTGGAGCTTTTGAGTTGGTGCTCCTGGGTCTAAATGCTCCGTAATGAGCTGGTGTGAATGGTAATAGCCGTTTATCTGCCCTCCTGCCTCTCACAACTCTCCTCTGGGAGCGTGGCCAAAATATGACAATCTGTCAGTGTTCATGCAGAGAGAGGGAGCAAATTGGATGGAAATTATGGCCCTGGTTTTTTAGGATGGCATCCAAAAAAGCATGGGATAAGGTGATTTGAAAGTGAAAACGGGAATGGACCTCGTCATGGACGTTCAAGGTCCCTTTCTGGGTCTGTTGTTGTAAACAGTCAATTTACTCCACCTCCCTCACAACACCTTCCTTTGAGACAAACACCTTTTTTTTCCTTCTTTTAGCCTGCCTCTCTTTGTTCTTGCCAGATTTAAGATCTGGTTTCCAAAATCTGTGCAATGAAAGAAGAATCTTTTCATTAGAGACTTAAAGACAAGCCTTGAATTAGCCACAGTGCATGGTGTCTATTCGTATCAATCACAGCCTTACACACATGACCAAAAATGAACACACACTGTTTGTGATGAATTTAAATGTGTGTGTTTTTTAAATGTATCTACATATATTACAGCCTAAGTTATGTCAGAAATATTCAGCATGCACGGCTTTAAAACGGAAATGTAATATTCTATTTCCCTCAAGCATCGGCATGATGCACTTGATTTTTTTGTTTTTTTTTAAATCAATGGAAATTAATTGATTTCAGTGGAGATGGCTGAAGTGATTAATTAGCATTGCATGAATCATTTTGTCAGATTCTATCCTATGTATTGACATATCTCATTGGATTAGAATCACTGGGCTGAATAATAAATAATGCATCCAATAGCATGCTTGACGGAGTGCATGCTAGTCTTGGGTATTTTCGTTTCACCTTAAGACAGGTCTTTGTAATGAGCGAATGCAGAGAGCGCAGGCTGAATGTACAAACACTGCCATTTTGATGTTATATTAAATACATAATGGAGAAACGGATTTGCTGCTCATATAAAATGATTCTGTACTTAGACGGAATATGAACGCGTTTTAAATAACAATCTGCTTTTCCGTAACGCAAATACAATTCTTTTTTTTCTTTTTTTTTAGTCATTCCATAGATTTTCCCGATACTTCAGCTATACCGCCTCGGGTTAAAGGTGACACCTATAAGGGTGTCATTAAATAAAGCGGTAGAGTGCTGCAGCGGCCAGCGTGTGACCTTCCACCCCCGACCTTGCCTCTAGCCTTTTATTTCTCCTCTCTGGTGCCGTGTTCCTTTTCTGTGCAGTACAGAAGCCTTGCTGGGCTCTGGGCTTGTTTGTGCTCGGTGACCAGGCAACAGTTGTGTAGAGATGGTTACCAGGACAACGCCATCTGTGTCACCTTGTGATTGACTGAGATGAGAGGAGGTAGGGAAGGGGAGGGGTGAGGTGAAATGGGTTGCGGCAAAAAGTGGTGGTGGTGGTGGGGGTGTTTGATGAGGAGGAGGGGCGAGAGAAGATTGGACAGGAAAGATGGGGGAGAGGGTGTTACAAATATTGAGAGGTGCATCTGATGTTTGCTTACGCCACTAGCCCGGTGTTGCAGGGTAGTGAATAATCACACAGACACTTGGTGCTTTGGGTGAGGCCAAGTGTCTGAGGAAAGGAAGCATAATGAGAAGCCCTTCCTCAGACTAGGCAAGCTCGAAGCCGCAGACACACTGAGCCCCTGCCTCCTAACCCTGTTTGGCAGAGGTATCTCTGACATGGAAGGACACATAATCAAAGTAGCAGGGCTAATTAGTCCAGTTATTTTTGCGTGCGTGTGTGCGTGCGCTGTTGATCTTGCTTGTTTGTGTCGACTCTTTGACAATATCCCCCGAGTAACGTGAAGCTCAAGTTGTTTTAACCCTGCGTCGTGAGGTGAATTTACAGCAACTAAAGACCCGCAGCCCGTGTACTGAGAAATGCACCCAGCAGATTTATTAGATATCTCGTGTCTAATCTGATTATTATTTTGTCCCATCTGTTTCTAATTATTGCCTTCAGCTAATGAGATATTTGCTTTTAATGCTTTGTTTTAATTTGAATTATTTTAAATCCCCGATCGCTGAGCTAAGTATATACCAGGATTTAACTAAGGAGAAGGAAGAGAGGGAAAAAAAAGAGCTTCCCAGTTGTACGCCTCGCTGAGGTTTTAGGCCTGGATATTTTCTGCATCTCCACCATTTCATTTATGTCTGCATTTCATTGAGCTATAATTACCACCACAGAGAGCTGGATGTTCTCCAGTGTCATCAAAACAATTGAAAATTCTGGTGTAATAGCTCATAATTATCAGTCTCTTATTAGTAGAGAGCAGTTGTTTGGATAATATGTTGGCTATGACATGGGTGTTGCTGCTCCTTTCGATCACATGGGACAAAAATAAGACACATGGGTGAAATTAATTGAAAACAACAAACACTACACAGAAATGCTCCTCAACAAAGGCCACTGTAATCATTATAATAATAATAAGGATAAAATAGTTAAAGTTAGATTTGTAATTAATATGCACAGAGTGGTTGGATAGCTCCCTTTTAGGTCTTTTTCATATAGTACACAAGAAAGTGCTAAATCTTTGGAAATCCTGAAGCTGTTCATATTTAACAGTGTATATGGTGATCATTTTTAGCTATTCAGTGTAATTGCATTGCATTACTGCTTTGATGTGTAATTGTTAGTGGCAGCCTGGTGTTCCCCCGTGGGATAAAAATTACACGCCTAACAGAAAATGTTACATGCATATACCGGGTCCCATTTGCCAGATTTGCAACTTGCAAGCTGTGATTTGCAATATGAGATGATCTCCTGCATCCTAATTTTAACACATTTCATTAGGCTAAACAAACGGCTCGCACGTCGTGCCTGAGCACGCGAGAGCCCTTTAGCACTCGCACATGTACTAGTGAGTAAAATTGACTTGTGAAACGCGGCGCTGCCAAGTGCACACACCAGTTGTTTTTGTAACACGTGCCTCTGGATGCTATTCTGAAAAGCAAATCTGGAGCACGCATGCATTTAAACAATGCGAAATGCAACATTTAATCGTTTTCTTCATTAGACTTCTCTCTTAATGCCGCATGACACGATGAATCCTCTGTGCCCCAGTTCCAGTCGAGACGTGTTTGCTTTCTCCGGTGGTTAACGCGTTTAAACGAAATAATTGCATGCGTATTATTGGAATGATCTCGTCATTACCACCAGTAACTACCAGATCAACAACGACTCAAATTCTATCAGCGGATTTAAATGCAGTGTTTGTGTGTGTCACAGATTGTGCCTTTTAAAATAATTTGTGATAAGTATACTTCATTTCTGTTTGGGTTCAAATTAGGGATAATGGGAGCAGAAAATGAATTAGGAAGAGAAAGAGGAGGAAGCAGTTTTGCCCAGAAATGGTGCACAGGGGGTAAAGAGCAGCAGGGAGAGAGATGAGAACAGATACCTAGCTGCATTAACGAGCACTGCTGGGAGTAAAGTGGGAGACACCCACACAGCGAGAGCAGAATGAAAAAGCTTGCTAGGTGGCTGCTGCATGCCATTAACAATGGGTTTACCATGGATGTTTACATTTAAATGTGTGTTTGTGGCGCACAGCATGTATGTTCGAAACACCTACAGGAGGATTCAGTTGCCTGTTCCAAGAGGGGAGGACTTGGCTCAGATTTGGCATCACTACTGGGTTTGATACAGAGCATGACTGCCTGGAAACTGACAATAGGAAGACAATATTGACACACGAATCCCTCTCCCAGTGAGCTTCATTCATACAATATTCCAGCCAAATGAAGGTCCTCGGTGTGGGTGTTGAGCCAAATGTGGTGCTCCCCAGTGAGAATACTATTGAATGCATACTGTAATTTTGCTTGATATGAGTCACACACGAAAAAAAAAACTTGCTAGAAATTAAACTGAGCAGTTGAGGGAATCCTTTTATTTGTTCAAACTGACTTCTACCCCACAGCTGAAAGTTCAGCAGTATCATAAATATTCATCATTTATTATTTAGTGGGATTTTTTTTATAATTCTGTTTTGTACAGAGTTCAGCTGATACATATTATTTTGAAATGTAAAATATCTCCTTCTTACCATCTCTGATAACAGCATTTATAGATTTTCTCAAACCTCCTCCAGTATCAGTCATTTTCTAATCAGTCATCATTACAACCTGGTCTGCTTTATATCGACAAACCGCTTTTCTTTGCGCGGAATCACAAGGCGCTTAGTTATTGTATTTGATACTGTACAGACAGAGCCAGCAGAACAAACACCACATAGGTTCGCAGGTTGGTTGCGTCCATTAGAGCAATGTGATCCCCCCCTCCTCTGATCCCGGTTGGCAGAGGAGAGAGCCTTTTAAAGACAGCGACTGTGGAGAGCAGACACTCGATGCCCTGTGCCGGGCACCACCAGCTGGGCTTGGCACAGTATCAACATTATTAGCACCAGTGCTCCCTTGGTCCATAGAAGCCTTTTGTGAGTGAGAACAGCCAGGGAGAGAGGGGGGAATTAAAAGGCAGATTTATTATCCTGCTTTCCTTTGGTTTTACTTTCTCAAACACATTTCACTTCACTGTCTTGTTTGCTTGTTGTGTTTACCTTTTGTGTTAATAAAGCAAATCAAATGAAGCACAGTACGGACACGTTTTTACCTTTATATAAATGCGTAAAGATTAAATGCAGACCACACTACACATGCAAGGCAGAGATTCCTCTGCAGTAATGTAAGC